GTAATTTTGAAAAAAAATTATTAGATGAATTAGCAATGAGGGAAGTAAAATATCTGAATTTACCTTCATTTATTCCTTTTCTAATGTTATTCCTATTAGCCGTCACAAAGCACACTAAACACCGGAGTAAGGGAAAGGGTTTATTGGGGAAAACCCAGCAGCCTGGAGTGGAGGGACAAAAAAGGATAAGAGAGAGAAAGAGAGTAAAAGAGAGAGAGAGAGAGAGAGAGAGGAGAGGAGCTAGTTAGGAGAGAAGAGAGAGTGGAGAGAAGAGAGACGAGAGGAGGAAAGGAGAGCAGATGAGAAGAGCCAAGAGAGCAGGAGAAAAGAACCAAGAGAGAGGAGCCAAGAGAGAAGAGAGAAGCCAAGAGAGCCACATGTTCAGGAACAGGTCCTTTTAAAACTTTGCTGGAGGGCAGGCAGGGAAGCAGGAACAGTGAATCCCATTAGGATGGGGGTGGAGCTTGACAACAGTGGTTGGGCCATGTGGCCACCTGGCTTTCAGCAATGGTGGTGGGGGCTAGGGCCTAGAATGTAAATCAGGGTGTAGATTGCATCATAGATAAAACTGCGCCATTTTCCTAACAATTTCTTTATATGTATGTAAGTTTATGGCCTTTTAAATTTTTGCTTTGATTCCACAATATTGATGGTCTGTTATTAGCTGTATAAAACTATATACCTTATAATTTCTCTATGTATTGAAAATGTAGTCACTTATAGTGCCTTTTCTTTCTGAAAATCTCTTAGCATTTCCTGTGAGGCATGTCTAAGGATGAAAACATTCCTCAATTTTTATTCGAGAAGTTCTTTATATCTCTCTTAACTTGGAAGGATAATTTTGCTGAATACAAAACTCCAGGTTGATGTGTGTTTTGTCTTTCAACATTTTAAATATTTTATTCCACTCTCTTCTTTCTTGCTTGACTTCAAGAGAAGTCCAGTATAAGTCTTATTCTTGTTCTTCTATGAATCTTTTTTTTTTAAATAATTAGTTATCTATTTTAGAGGTGGGATGGGAGTGGAGAGAGAGTTTCCCATCTGCTGATTGACTTTCCAAATGCTTGCAATGACCCAAGATGGGAGTGGGAACCCAAACCAGGCCTCACAATGGGTGGCAGAATCCAGTCACTTGAGCTAACATTGCCCCTCCCACCATGCCACCCAGAGTCTGCATTAATAGAAAGCTGAAGTCAGGGGTGAAGCTGGGTATTCACCCCAGTCGCTCTAATCTGGGATATGGGCTTTCAACTACTAAGCCAATCGCCTACCTCTACCATGAATGCTAAATGGTTTTTTAGTCTGACTTCTTTCAAGATGCTGTCTTTGATTTTCAGCAGTTTGAATACAACATGCCTAGGTATATATATTTATATTTATATTTATCTTGCTTAGTGTTCTCTGAGATTCCTGGATTGTGTTTTGGTTCCTGCCTTAATTTTAGAACATTCTTGGCCACGTTCATGTAAAATAGTTCCTCTGTCCCTTTCTCTTCCTCATGGTATGCCAATTATAGGCACATCAAATTTTTTCTAATTGTCATACAGTTTTTGGATATTCTGTAATTTTTTTTCATTCAGTTTCTTCAAGCTCACAGATTCATTTTTTGGCCATATATTAATGCATCAAAGACCATTTTCATTCCCATTACAATGTTTTCAATTGTTATTGTTTCTTTGTGATTCTTCCTTACAGTTTCATATGTTAATATTATTCATTTGCTGTTTCACATTAAGCACTTTTGCTATTAGAGTTATTTGCATACTAATCATAGTTATTTTAAAGTCCTCATCCAATGATGTCAAAATCAGCTTTTGATTGCATTGTTACTTCAGCCTGTGGTTTTTTGTTTGTTTGTTTGTTTTTCCTGTTAGCATGCCTTGTAATTTTTTCTTGAAACCTGGACACGATGGGTTGGGCATAGTACCTATGATAAACTTAGTGCGTACTCTTACCTTTATTTAGCCAATAGTTACATTGTGCTTACTGTTGGCTACAACTGGCATCAGAGGTTAACATTCATTCTTCCAGTGTCCTTGTTTTTATCTCCTTTGTTAGCTCCTCTTGTTTTTTTATTCGGATGCTCTTTAAATAATATCAGAGGCTTGGTGGTTTTATTTTGTTTTGTTTTGGTTTGTTCAGCTGTAATTGGGTTATTGAACAGGAGCCCCATTGATGCGATGGTGGTGTCAGGGAGGAAAGTGTTCTATAATCCTATGATTAACTAACAGTATTTACTGGGCTGTCTCCTTGGGCTGTACCTTCAAAAGTGCCTCTTTTTAGCTCTTTTTTCCCCCTACCTGCTTTGATGAGACAGAAGGACGAGAGGTGGTTAGTGATTAGAATTTTCCTTTCTCCCCTTGTGGACCAGGCTCTGGTAATATAGTTTCTCTTGAGAATAAGCTTTTGTTAGGGAGAATGGAAGGCTTCAGGTATGTTTAAAATCGGTTACTCTGCCACCTCCCGTTGCTGAAAGAAAGATGGAATTTTTCTCTTGTCTTTGCTGTGAGAATTTAGTGTGGTTCCTAGAAATAACACACATGAAAGTGTGGGGGTCCCCCGACTGCCTTTACCCATGGTTTAGCTCTCAACCTAATCTACAGTTGCCTTCAGTCATTTGTCAATTGAAGATTAATTGTTCCTGCCAGTCCTTGCTCCTGCAGCAGGTTTTGCTCTCTGTCAGCTCTGATTCTCTGTGCACTGCCTCTCTAGATTTCAGGATAGTAGTCTGCCTTCTGATCTGGATTTTCTGAAGGTTTTAAGAAATATTCACTTTTAATCATTTTTAATTTGTTCAGATTTTCTTCTTTTGAAGATGGGGGTGAGAACTTCTAAACTCTTTTCTTGTCTGGCTGAAATCTGGAAGCCATAATATTGGGTTAACAAGCAACATAAGCTATAATTTTAGGCAAAACATTTCATACCTCAATAAAATGGACATATCCCTTGAAAGATATTAACTACTAAGGACCCTAGAGAAGAGAGATAAAAATTAATAGTTCTCTATCCATTATATGAAGGACTTCACCTCCTCTTCTGGGAAAGGGGTTAGTTGATTTTCAGTTCTATGAGAGATGGTTGTATCACATAAAGTAGAATTGTAATATTATTTAAGAAGATGCATATGAGGGCAGCTCACTAGGCTAATCCTCCGCCTGCGGCACTGGCACACCGGGTTCTAGTCCCGGTCGGGGCGCCGAATTCTGTCCCGGTTGCCCCTCTTCCAGGCCAGCTCTCTGCTGTGGCACGGGAGTGCAGTGGAGAATGGCCCAAGTCCTTGGGCCCTGCACCCCATGGGAGACCAGGAGAAGCACCTGGCTCCTGCCTTCGGATCAGCCCGGTGCCGGCGGCCATTGGAGGGTGGATCAATGGCAAAAGGAAGACCTTTCTGTCTGTCTCTCTCTCTCACTGTCCACTCGGTCTGTCAAAAAAAGAAAAAAAGAAAAAATAAGATGCATATGGATACCAAGGTGACAAGGAGTGGACTTTGATAGTTTATCTCATTTCTATACTGACTGTCCTCGTTCTCCAAGTTGCAGATAGAATGACGTGAGACTACTTTACCTTCATAACTGCGTGATTCACTTCATATAGATATATGTATATGCATATAAAATATATCTTCTATTGGTTCTACTTACCTGTAGAAACTAGTACACTAATACCAGACAAACAAGGTTTAGAAGAGATAAAAAAGACACTGTAAGTGACTATATTTTCTTTTTTTTATTTCTTTTATTTATTTGGAAGACATAGTTACAGAGAGAGTTAGAGACAGATAGAGAAGTCTTCCATCCGCTGGTTCACTCCCCAAGTGACCACAACGGCAGGAGCAGCACCAATCCAAAGCCAGGAACCAGGAGTTTCTTCTGCGTCTCCCACGTGAGTGCAGGGTCCCAAGGTTTGGGCCATCTGGATGGGAAGAGGAGCAGCCGGGACTAGAACTGGTGCCCATAGGGTATGCCACTGCTGCAGGCCAGGGCTTTAACCTGGTGTGCCACAGCACTGGCCCCAGTGACTATATTTTCAATACATAAAGAAAATATGAATTATAATTTTACACAACTGATAACAGATCATCAAAATATATTCAGCCAAAACAAAGAATTTTAGAGAGAAATGGAAAGTTCTACAATAATAATTGGATACTTCAATACCCCATTCTCAGTTACAACAATCAGACAGAAGATAAATAAGGAAATAGAGAGCTTAATACAACAAGCAATAGAGCCACTAGATATATACAGAATACTCTACCAAGCACCAATATAGTACATATTCTTCATGGATCATGGGAAATTTCAGGATAATCCATATTTTAGGCTACAAATTAAGTCTCAGTAAATTTACAGATAATATTTCATACAAAATACCTCCTCTGACCCAAACAAGATGAAATTAGAAATCAGCGACAATGTGTAAAATTCACTAAATTATGAAAATCAAAGAATAGGTTCTTAAACACCAAGGAATCAAGGAGGAAATCTTTGATTTATTCATGAAAATATGAACACAATATATAAAATGTATGGAACACAGTGATAGAACTGGTAGGGAAAACTTTAGAAGCCAAAATATTTAGATTAAAGAATAAGAAAGATCTCAAATCAACAATCAAATTTTAGAACTAAACAAATAGAAAAAGAATACATTAAAGTCATAGTTCACACAAGGAAAAATATTACTAAGTTCAGAATTTACAAGAAATTAAACAGATAATAGAAAAATAATAAAGAAAATCAATAAAACCAAGAGTTGGTTATTTGAAAAGTTCAACAAAACTTACAAATTTCTAGTTAGATGAACTAAGATAAAAATGAATACTCAAATTACTAAAATCAGAAATAAGATGGTAGACATTACTATTGATTCTATATAAATAAAACAAATAGTGTAAGAGTACTACGAAGACATATACCTGAAAAAAATTGGATAGCCTGGAGAAAATGGACAAATTACTAGAGAAACAACATCTACTAAGATTAAATATTTCATGTTCACTTGAGAAGAATATGTGTGCTAACTTTGATGGGCACAGTATTCTGTATATTATATGTATAACTACCAAATGGATTGAATCAGTGATCCAAAATCTTCTGACACAGAGAATCCCTGAACTTACTGATTTCATGCATGAATTCTACCAGACATTTCACTTGATCTTAGCCAAAAGGCCGAGAAGCGATCTACCAGACATTTAAAGTAGAACTATCAGAAATTTTTCTTACGCTGTTCCAAGATCTTAAAGATGTAGGAACACTTTTATGAGCTCAGAATTATCATACCTAAGTCTGGAAATGACACTACAAGAGAAACACTAGAGACTAAAACCCCTAAAGAATATTGACACAACTATTCTCAATTAAACATTCATGAATCCAATTTGGCAACATATTAAAATATCTACCATAAAAGAATGAAGTTGGACCCTTACCTAACACTATTTGCAAAAATTCACTGTCCAAATAGGAATTATTCCTGAAATTCAAGGATGGTTCAACATATGAAAATTGACTAGTTAATACACCACATTAACAGAAAAAAGTAAAAACATTTTACCAATAGATAAAAAAAAAAAAACTGTGATGAAACAAACAAAAATACATTGAACAAACCAGGAATAGAAGGAAATGATCTCAATATCATACACAATGGTGTGAAGTTGAAAGCACTTCACCTAAGATCAGGAGCCAGACAAGGATGCCATTCTTGTTGTTTCTATTCAGCCAGTAATAGAAGTTCTAGCCATAGAAATTAAACAATAAAAATAAATAAAATACTTCCAAATTGGAAATGAATAAGCAAAATCATTTCTGTTTGCAGCTGTTATGACCTTATATGTATAAAACCCTAAATATTTTATCAAAAAATTATTGGAACTAATAAGCAAATTCAGTACAATAGTAGGAATCAAATTCAGCATGCCAAAATTGGTTATATTTCCATACAATAATAATTAACAAGCAGAAAATGAAGCTATTTTAAAAATTCCATTTATAATATCATCAGGAATAAAAACTCAAGAATTAATCAACAAAGTGAAAACTATATAACATTCCTGAAAGCCATTAAATTATACATAAACATGTTAATGAACAGTGGTCTGAAGATGGTGGAACTACCTACAGTGTTTTCACACATTAAGTGCTGTCCTATCAAATCCCAATGATTTTTCTAGCACAAGTAGAAAAATTTCATATGAAAGTACAAGGGACCTAAACTGTCAAACAATCATAAAAATGACCAAAGCTAAAATACTCAAAATTTCTGATTTCAAAACTTACTAACAAGGTACAGTTATCAACACTGTGCATGCTAGCATAAAGATGTTAAGACTGTGAATACAATAGAGATCCCAGGAGTAAACCCTCACAGACAGAGGAATAACTTTTTACAAGACCATTAATAGGGCCCATATCATCTTCACAACCATAGTGTTAGGGAAACTGAATATCCACCATAAAAGAATGAAGTTGGAATCTTACCTAACACTATTTGTAAAAATTCACTCAAAATAAGTCAAAAAACTAAAGACCCAAAATGTTAAAAATCTTAGATTAAAAGTTAGGACAACATAGTCATGACATTGGCTTTGGCAATAATTTCTGGATGTCATATCTAAGGCAGAGGAAATAAAAGAAAAAGTTGACCAATTGGACTGCTAGAACTTTCAAAAATTAGCATTGAGACAATGGTAGCAGAGTGAAATGGCAACACGCAAAATAGAAGAAAATATTTTCAAACCATCTACCTGATTAAAAAAATAAAAGGAACTTCTACAGTTAAACAATCAAAAAGTTCCTACAAAGTCCCAAATCAGAAATAGACAAATGACTGGACATTTCTCCAAAAATATAGACAAATGGCCTATGAGCACATGAAAACAAATAAAGTTACCAACATCACAAATAATTAGAGCAACGAAAAGCGGAATGACAACTGAATATGACCTCATATCAATTACAATTACTATTTAAAATAGACAAAATAAATATTGGCAAAGAAGTGGATAAACTGGTATCCTTGTAAACTATTGGTGGTAATGAGAAATGATACAGCCAGTCACATATGGGGAATATAACCAAAAGAATTGAAAGCAGTATCCAAAAGACATATTTGTACATCCATGCTTATAGCAGTGTTGTTAAAACATGGAAGCAAACCAAGTGCACATTGACAGATGATTGGATAAGCAAATGTGGGGCATGCATCCAATGGAACACTATTCAGGCTTTAAAAAGAAGGAAATTAGGACATATGATGCAAAATGAATGAAACTTGAGGACATTATGCTAAGTGAAATCAGTCAGTCATAAAAAAGATGAATACTGTGATTCCACTCAATGAGGCATTTATAGCACCCACAATCATGGAAATATAAAATAGAATGGTAGTTTCCAGGGGCCAGGGAAGGGAGAACACAGAGAATTGCTATTTAATAGTAACAGAGTTTCAGTTTTACAAGATGAAAAGGGTTATGAAGATGAATGGTAGTGATCATTTTCAAGATTATGAATGTTACCATTAACACTGAAATGTAAACTTAAGCATAGTTAAGATGGTAAACTTCATATTACGTATATTTTGTCAGCATAAAAATGAAATTGAATAAAAAAGAGAAAATAAATGATTTTTGATTCTTTTTAAAGTAAAACACCAAAATGCCAAATGTTTACATATGATACTAGAAAGATATTTAAGTATGATCTTATGAAATATTTGTACATTTTATCATAAAAATTACAAATCATTGAAGAGAGAAGCAAAGAATGCCTAAATAAATTTAGGTATATATAAGATTCATTGATTAAAATACTTAATATTGAAACATGCCAGTTCTTCCCTTACCAATTTATAGATTTGATGTAATTCAAATGAAAATCTCAGCAGGCTATTAAAAATCTAGAGGTTGATTTTATAAAATATATATGAAAAAGGAAAGAAGAATAGACGAAACAATGTTGTAAAAGAAGAAATAAAGTTGGGGCTGGCTCTGTGGCGTAGTGGGTAAAGCTGCTGCCTGCAGCGCCTGCATGCCATATGGGTGTCGCTTTGAGTCCTGGCTGTTCTACTTCCTATCTAGCTCCCTACTAATGCTCCTGGGAAAGCAGCCAGAAGATGGCCCAAGTCTGTGGATCCCTGCACCCGCATGGGAGACCTGGAAAAAGTTTCTGGTTCCTGGCTTCGGATTGGCCCAGCTCTGGTCATTGTGGCCATTTGGAGAGTGAACCAGCTGATGGAAGACACTTTCTCTCTGCCTCTCTTTCTCTCTCCCTCTGCTTCTGCCTCTCTGTAAATCTGCCTTTCAAATCAATCAATCAATCAATCTTAGGAGAAGGAGGAGAAGAGGAGGAGGATGAGGAGGAGGAGGAGGAAGAAGGGGAGGAGGAGGAAGAGAAATAAAGTTGCCAAACATTCCTCACTTGAGACTAGGTCTTGCTATAAAGCTACATTATTCAAGCTAGAGTTGTAATGATTAAAGGATAAAAACACAAAACAGTGGAATAGAATAAGGAATCTACAATAGAACTGTATATATAAGCAATTTATTTTTAAAATAATGCCAAGATAACTATTGGCACAGTCTTTTCAACAAATGATACTATAACAAGTAAGTTGCAATGCAATTTGCATAATCTTTTGGAAAAAATTAAATTAGCCATGATCTATATTTTATGTAATATATACAAATTAATAAAAAATTCCTCATAGGGCATCATAAGCTGCTGCTTACAACACTAGCATTCCATATGGGTACTGGTTCAAGTCTGGACTGTTCCACTTCTGATCCAACTGCCTGCTAATGGCCTGGGAAGAGCAAGGGTATGGGCCCTGCCACTCACGTGGGAGACCTGAAAGAAGCTTCGCCTAGCTCAGTCCTGGCTGTCACAGCTGTCTGGGGAGGGAACAAGCAGACGGAATCTCTCTCTCTCTCTCTCTCTCTCTGTCTCTCTCTTTCTTTCTCTGCCTGTCTCTAACTCTGACTTTCAAATAAATAAAAAATTTTTTTAAAATGCCTAATAAATATAAAATCTATACAAATAAATCTTCTAGAAGGAAGCATGGGATAAAGTCTCTGTAACCTCTTTTTAAGGCAAAAAGAATCATAAAAGCAAATGAATTTAAAATTGGATTCATCAAAATTTAAAATTTCTGCCCTTTGAAAAACAGCACTGAGAAAATGAAAAAACAAATACTTGGAGAATGTATTTAAAGTACATATCCAATAAAGATCAGGTATCTGGAAACGATAAAGAGCACTCACAGCTCAGTAGTAAGAAACAAACAACTAGATTTTTTAAATGGACAAAATATTTTAACACAAACCTCGCCTAAGAAGATATAGGGATGACGAATGACCACTTGTTCAACATAATTAGCTATATGGAAATGTGTGTTAAGCCACAGTGAAATGGCACCACATATTCTAGAAGTGCAAAGGAACAAAGAATTCATAATGCCACTTACTTGTGAGGCTATGTAGTATTTAAAACCCTTAAACATTGGTAATTCGAATGAAAAATGGTACATCATATTTGGAAAACTTCATCACATTTTTAATGATATATAAGCAATTAATTTTTAAAATAATGCCAAGATAACTATTAGCATTTACACTATTAATTTTATACTTAATATAGAACTCAGAAACTTTACTTTTTGATATTTGCCCTAGAAAAATGAAAACACATATTCACAGAAAAGCTTGTAGGCAAATGTCTGTATTGGCTTTCTTTGCTTGCTTCTAAACCTAGAAACAATCATATTTTAATTCATGATATATCCAGACAATGGGATATTATTCAGAAATAAAACATTTGCAGTTAACCTATGCACATGGAAACATGGATGATTCGCAAGCACATCCCACTATGTGAAAGAAGTAGGACTTAGTAACCACATTGTGTATGGGCTCGTGTATATGATATTCATAAAACAAAACCATAGGGACTAAAAACAGAATGGGCATTGGCAAGACTAAAGCTGCAGTAGAACATTGGCTACAACAGGTAATAAGTATCACTATGTTCCTAAATCAGTATCATGAAACACATGAAACTTATAACTTAAATAAAATATTTAAAAAAGAAAATTCTTACACACAATAGGAATTGTCGCTCCCCCTCTTCGTGGAGGAACGACACTAAACCCTGCCTAGGCTTCCTATCCGAGTCACGGCACCATT